GGGAGTACCTCTGGAGAGTGCCTGAAACTGGGAGGTTTCTTCAGGGCAGAGCTGAGCAGACAGCAGCTGCTGATGGTGTTTGTGATTGCTGAGAGGGAAACATTTGAGGGCAGAGAAACTGTTCTCAGCGGGGATAGCTCCAGGCAGCAGACACATGGGCAGATAACTATAGGAAACTCCAATCAGCAATGTTATGGAAGGGAGAATTTGGAAAGCTCCCTGTCAACCGTCCAGTGCAGATCACTTCCTCGGAGCAGACCCCTGCTCTCGTCTCCCTCCCAGCACAGCCTCTGCCCTCCAGGCTGTGTGCTCCAGGGCAGGAGTTGTCTCAGCTGCAGCCAGAGCTCCAGAACAGCAGAGGTGCATCTCTCCTGACATGTGGCTCCTTCCCTCTGCAGAGCCAAGGGGCTGAGAGCCACTGCCCTGGCATTTTTCTGCCTGGGAGGTGCTGGGCTGTGCTGGGCAAGGAGCAGAGTGCCCACCCGCCTCTCCTCTCCTTGCTTCCCTTCACAGGAGAGTCACAGAGATTTTCTTTGTTTCTGCCCATGGCTGTGCTGCTCTTCTTCCTGCTCTTGGAGTCTGGCAATAAGAGTGGCGGCGTGGGGCAAGGGCTGGGGGTGCTGAGTGCCTGCTCAGATATGGACCTGGAGGAAGCTGCCCTGGAGCTGTCTCCGTGGCACTCAGGGGCTCAAGCTCTCTTCATTTTCCTGGCTCGAGAATCTGCAGTCAGTGCTTGGGCAAGGAGACACTGCTTCCCTCAGCAGATATCACCTTAAGGCCCCTGGTTTTGCTGGAGAGGGAGTCCTGCGGGGCTGTGAGCATCCCTCCAGAAGGGCAGAGCTCTCCTCCAGGACCTTTGTGGTGGCTGAGAGCACCTGATCTGCCCATGCAAATCTCCATCCGGGTCCTGTCCTATTCATCATTACATCACGCATAGCTGTGCTTTGTTACTCTTCCCAAGAACATTTCCCAAGTGGGATGAGGGTGTCTGAATGCTAAAACACAATGTAAGGAGACACATTTGCTGCACCTCATCTGCCACCTTCCTCTGTGGAAGAAAGCATCCTTCTGTCCTTCTGAGCTTTTTACTCTGCGCTATAGGGTAGCACAGATGCTGATGTGGGATCCTGACAGCGCAGATGCTGACAGACCCTTCTGCATTAGGACAGGTTCCATCTCACAAAGCTGAACATTAGTACCGGTCCCTGCCCCTACCCACTTCTGCAGATAAGGGCTGACTTATCAAGTGCTCACTGTCAGAGGCCCTGTTCTTCATCGCACGCTTGGCCAGCACCAAGCAGTGCTGCAGCTGAAGGAAGGTGTCCTGCAAAAGAAAGGGATGACTGAATGTGACATGGGAAATGTCTTTGCTTTTGCTCAGAGAAGTCTCCCCTAAGAAGTCACTGTCTTTTTCTCTTGTGCAGAGTGCCCAGAGTCGTCAAATGTCCAACAGCAGCTCCATCACCCACTTCCTCCTCCTGGCATTCGCAGACACACGGGAGCTGCAGCTCGTGCACTTCGGGCTCTTCCTGGGCATCTACCTGGCTGCCCTCCTGGGCAACGGCCTCATCATCACTGCCGTAGCCACACCCCCATGTACTTCTTCCTCCTCAACCTCTCCCTCCTCGACCTGGGCTCCATCTCCACCACTGTTCCCAAAGCCATGGCCAACTCCCTCTGGGACACCAGGGATATCTCCTATGCAGGATGTGCTGCCCAAGTATTTCTCTTTTTGTTTTTCATTTCAGCAGAACTGTCTCTTCTCACTGTCATGGCCTATGACCGCTACGTTGCCATCTGCAAACCCCTGCACTACGGGATCCTCCTGGGCAACAGAGCTTGTGTCCACATGGCAGCAGCTGCCTGGGGCAGTGGGTTCCTCTATTCTCTCCTGCACACTGTCAATACATTTTCACTCCCCCTCTGCAAGGGCAATGCTGTCGACCAGTTCTTCTGTGAAGTTCCCCAGATCCTCAAGCTCTCCTGCACAGATGCCTACCTCAGGGAATTTGGGCTTATTGTGGTTAGTGTCTTTGTGGGGATTGGATGTTTTGCTTTCATTGTGCTATCCTATGTGCAGATCTTCCGGGCTGTGCTGAGGATCCCCTCTCAGCAGGGACGGCACAAAGCCTTTTCCACATGCCTGCCTCACCTGGCTGTGGTCTCCCTGTTTCTCAGCACAGGCGTGTTTGCCTACCTGAAGCCCCCCTCCATCTCCTTCCCATCCCTGGACCTGATGGTGGCAGTACCTTACTCGGTGGTGCCTTCAACAGTGAACCCCCTCATCTACAGCATGAGGAACGAGGAGCTCCAGGATGCAGTCCGGAAACTGATAACTGGATGGTTTTTTTAAGCAATAAAATTCTTCTGCATAGCAGCTATAATGTAATTCCTTGCAGACCTAGCCTGTCTTCTGTATTTTTTTTTCTTGGTGGTGATTTTTTACATCTGACAATGTTGTCATTCCCTTTCTAATTCACTGTCTGCTTTGCTTTTCCGACCGAGTGGCTGTCGGTCACTGAGGAGCCCTGCTCTTTGTTTTTAAACATAATAGAGGTCATTCAGAGACTTTTTATTTTCCTGAGATCTCTCCTGAAATGTCTTTTTGGAGCTACAGGGCAATTCCTGTGCGCATGGGTAGAGGGGAAAAGAGTCCCGTCATGGCAGCAGTGCCAAGGAGCACTGGCACACGGTCTTCCAGAGGTCTTATCTTTCCACTTCCACATTCTGTTTCTGATCCCTTGCATTGGTGTAAGGCCTGAGTACTCTGGCAGCTTGGTCACAGTCCTGCTGCATGGTGGTCCTCTGACCACAGGCAGGGAAAGGTACTGGGAAATTCTGTGAGAAAGCTCCATAACAGCATTTCCATAAAGAAAGGGTGCCCTCCTCAGGGCAATGCTTGAAGGCTTAGGTCCTGTCTCAAGAACATGCCCAGGAAGTGGCCCGCAGATGAAAACACCAGTATACAGTAAACGATGTGAGTGTGCAGGGTTGGGGCATGCAGCAGTGTCCTTGCACAGCCAGGCCTCCTGCGAGAGACCTGAAGGACCAGCAGAGGAGGGTCTGGTCTGTGCTCGTGTTTGCTGGACACCCTGCGGAAGCTGCCCCAGGGCAATCATCCTGGACTGGCCCCTCACAACCACCATTTCCAGCTCTGGACCCACACCCAGCTTGGAGAGGCTCTTTGTCCCTCCATGGAAGGACACTGAATGAGAAGGTCAGAAGTCCATGTTTGCTTTGTACTGGGGAGATGTAATTATGCACATGACGTAGGTGAGGTGAGGGGAACCTGAGTGAACGCAAATGCCATCAGCAATTCCTTGGGGTTCCATGAAGGCCTGTGGGACAGAGAGTGCCTCGAGGTCACTTCATGTTGGGAATAACATCCCCTGCGATACCACCTGAATGCAACCCTTCCTTGAACTGAGGTCCCTGTGTCCAGTCCTCATGCTGAGGGGCATCTCAGATGAGTGCAGAGCAGGGTGATACACCGCTGAGGGCTGAGGTGCTTCCCCACATCTGAGTGTGGCAGCAGGAGGCCAGAGAGACATGAGGACTCCTGCGGTGTGCTTCCTCAGTGTGTAAAAAGCAAAGATTCTGAACACACCCGGGTACTTCAGGAGTCCACACGACAAGCTCAGATATAGATGCCTGACAGAACCCTGACATTTCAGAGTGTGACTTCAGGAAAAAAACTCACTGGCCCAATGAGGTTCATCTCAGCTGCCTCAGACAGGCTCATTGCAAGTGCTCCTGTCTGCTACATCACCCTTGCCCATGATTTTGGACTGTGCTCTCAAAAGGGTCAGAGCAACCAGAGATGTTCTGGGATCCTTGCAAAAGGCAGGCATGAATCCCGTCTTCAGGAAAGGCAGAAATGAGAATTAGGAGAATTACAGGCTGGTCAGCCTACATCCGTCCCTGGGGAGGGGATGGGACACATCGTCCTGCAACCATTTCCAGGCACCAGAAGGACAACAAAGGGGTTGTGAAACGAAAATGGGCGGGGGAAAGAAAGGCATGCTGTGTACATGGAATTTGGCAAAGCCTTTGACATGGTCTCCCATGGTGTCCTTACCACTCTGTGGGCTGAAGAAGTGGACATTGCGTGGGAAGTTGGCTAGGTGATCAAGCCCAAATGTCATCAGTGGTCCAAAGTCCTCTGAGCAGGCAGCTACTGGTGGCAGCCCTCAGTGACCAGCACTTGGGCCAACAGTGTAGAACAGCTTTGTCATCCCCCTGTAGGATGTGTTGGAGCACACTTTCAGCTCCTTTGTGGATGAAGCAAAGCTGGGCGGAGGCCTTGAACAGCCTCATCTGGTCCACCCTGCCTTGAGCAGGAGAGTGAGGCAAGGCAATGTTCAGGGCTCTTTTCAAACCTGACTTATTCTATGATTCAGTGAATCTTTCCCTTGGAGAGGTTCTTCACGAAAGAATGGGTGGAAGAAGAAGAAGAAAAAAAAAAAGAAGAGGCAGAAGAGATATAAAATATGTCAACAGAAATGCAGCAGTTCCTGTGAAGAATGTTTCTGCACTCAAATTGTTAGTAGGACATATCTTTGATAGATTTGATAAAACAAGCATTCCTTTCTCTGGTCAGGTCCTGGACCGTAAGGAGCAGGATGGATGGGTATGGAAGCCTATGGCTGTGAAGGGGCCTGTGAGGTCAGTTCTATCTCTGGAGGTGATAGGCCAGCATCAGGAACATGGTGTGGTGGTGTGCTCTGCACACCTGACGTTTTCCCCTATCCCTGCTCAAGTAATAACCACCAGTGGCGGTCGTGATGGATGTATTTGGTCTTGATGGATGCTTCCAGCTCCAAGGGGATTTGGGGGAGACAGATAACAACACAATAGACAAGGGCTATTGTGCAATGTGCCCACCTAAGCACAGTGAAGGAAATAAAATCTGTGGTCAGTATGCAAACATGGCTATGAGCCAATCCCCTGACCCCCATCAATAGTGAGCAGCCCAAGAGCCCTTGGAGCTCTCCTGCATGGCAGCGGGCTACATGCCAGGATCTCCCCTTGAGCTTAAGGTTACTACTTGAGGCTGAGAGATTCCTTACCTCAACAGATACCTGGTAAGTGGCTAATAGCATGCTAAAGTTTGACATCTTAGCTAAGTGATATAAAGGATTGATTGTGCATATATAATCCTTTAGACATAAATCGTTGACCAAGTCTGGGACTAGGATTG